GAAGTCTTCTTCCTCCCAAGATGTGCTAAGGTATATCCAGCTCCTGGTTCTGGCTGGCTTCTGATGGCTCAGGCTAAACCACCAGCCTGCAGAGCTCAGGGCTTCTGCTGCGGCTGGCAGGATAGAGGCTCTCATCTGCCTGGGGTCAGCAAATGGGGAAGAAGTGTGGGCTGTTGGAGCCACTAAGTCCCCACATGGGAGAAGCCTGGTGGAGAGTTGGAGAGCCAAGCCTAGACAAAGTGGTCAGCCCACAGAGGGTCAACTCTGCCCCATGAGCTGTCAGGCCCGGCTACCTCTTTGCTTAGAGTCCATCACAGGGGACCTGGAGTATGACCGTACACGGGTGACTGTGACTCCTTAGCACCCTTTGGAGAGGAGTCTGCGGGGACAAGGATCACCTAGACCAGTGGTGCTCAACCTTCCTAATGCTGCGACCCTTTACGACAGTTTCTCAACCATAAAGTTATTTTTGTTGTTGCTTCGTAACTGTGATTTTGCTACTGGCATGAATTGTAACGTAAATATCCGATATGCAGAGTATCTGCTGTGTGACCCCTGTGAAACTGTTGTTCCACCTCCCAAAGGAGCCGAGACCCACAGGTTGGGAACAGTTGACCTAGAGGGAGGGAAGCCCATAAGCAAGGCCTCGCTCTGTCTGCTGCAGTGCCAGGGCCCTAGGGTATGAGAGCCAGAAGTGGGGCATAGAGCTTCAGATAGAACAGTCCCCTACCCCATCGCTGGGACTCTAGCCTTGGCTTCAGCCCCAGGACAGCATCTCCTCGAAGGTCACATGCTTTCCTAGGGCCTTGGAGATCAAGGGTTGAAGGCTTCCTGCCTTCTCTGGCACTGTGGGAAGGTGGTGGAACATTTAGAAGGTGAGGCCTACCTAAGGCATTGGGTTGTATGACCCTGAAGGAGTCCACAGGACCATGAGACCCTGTCCCCTTACTCTCTTACTTTCTGGGTATCATGAGAGCAGCCCTGGCTCCTAAGACATGTTGCCCTCCCCACAGGCTCCAAAGCCACTGGTACCCATGGCCATGAGCCAGAATCAACCTATCCCCCCCTCCACACACACACACACTTCTGCTTTTTGAGACAGGGTTTCTCTGTGTAGCCCTAGCTGTTCTGGAACTTGCTTTGTAGAACATGTTGGCTTCAAACTTGGAGATCCACTGCCTCTGCCTCTTGAGTGCCGGGATTAAAGCAGCAAACCTTTCTTTTTCTTTAACTTGAGTCTCTCCAGTATTTTGTCATAGTTATGAGAGCTGACCAATAAGGTGACTTCAGTTCCACAAAATTTCTGGGAGAACCTAGCTGACATGGGACAGGATATCCCAGACCCCTGACATCACGGTGTTCACCTAGCTGACATGGGACAGGACATCCCAGGCACCTGACATCACGGTGCTCATGGACCTTAGAAACAAAGCCCCTGTCACTGCAGCAACTGTTTTGGTGTGTGGGAGAGGGCTGGGGATCAAACCCATACTAGGCAAGTGCTCTCCCACTGAGTCATACACCACCTGCTGGCACGAGAACTCATGCTAGTTTAACAAAGAGCCTCCTTCCAGATTTCCCACTGAGAGGCCATCAGGGGCACCCGCTTCTGAGGTGGAAAGGGTGGGTCTTGTGTAGCACTGAAATGTGGACTTTGGTGAGATGGAGGATTGTATGGGGTGCAGATCTGTACCCCAGGGACATGATGAGAAATCCCCAGGCACAGGAGGAGGGTACAAGGCAACAGAGATGGGTGGGCCTGGGAGGAAGGACAGCTCTGTATCACTTATGTGTTTCAGCAAACAGATAACCTTGGATCAAAGATTCCCTGTGTCACACAGTTTCTAAGGGACAGAAGACTGAAGCCCGGTGGGCTAGGGGCTCTCTCTCAGGGTCTCAGGAGGTTACAACGGTGACAGTCGGGGTGCTGAAGGGTGGAAGAGACATTTCCACGATGGTGTCCTCGAAACAGCTTGTGACACAGCAGCTGAAAATATAAGAGAGAAGCGGGGGGGAGGGGATTGGGAGAGAGAGGGAGAGAGAGAGAGAGAGCGCGCACCAGCCACACATGTTCTACAACAGAAAGTTGGGCATGGTCCCTGCTTACTTTTGTCATCATTCATGAACCACACAAGTGACCTTAGTGCCAGGCAACTACATAAATCTAGGACGGTGGGCCACTAGGTTGTCCCAGAGAATGGCCACCAGAAGTGCCAAAAAGTCAAGCTCACACACGACCTTCTGATGCTAATGCCCCTGAAGGAGATGTACACCGTTTGCTTCCATTGCTGGGTTAAGGGAGAAATTAGTAACAGCTGTGGAGAAACTAAACCAGCTCCTCCCTTAAACAAGGCAACTAGGAAGCAGGAGAAACAGGAAGCTGTAACAGGTGAGACAAATACACAACTCAGCAGAGACAGACAGTGGGTCGTGAATTCATTGCAATAAGTGTGTGGGAGTGCACAGGTGTGCATGCACACTCATGGGCACACGAGCAATGGCTAACGTAAGAACAGACACCAGCTGCAGCAGCAAGAAGTCAATGGGCAACTTCTACATCTGGAGGGGAGAAAGGAACAACGTTTGCATAACCCAGGGAATGAGCGCTCAAGAGCTTGCTGCGGAGTTCAGTGCCCAGTACTCTGGTCCGTCTCAGAAAGGGCTCACTCGTGGCGCCCAACAGTCTGTAATTCTGATGTGATGCGCTCTTCTAGCTCCTGAAGTACTGTACTTACACGCACATACCCACACACAGGCACACAGAATTAAAACATACTTTTTAAAGAATGAAGTAAATAATCAAAGAATATGCTAGAATAACAGTTTGCCTCTGAGAGAGACCCAGGCAAGGAGGCACCAGCTTTTCAGGGCAAGCCTTACAGAACTGTCTGACTGCCTGAACGGCGCAGGCTTACGGCTTTTGACTAGAAAAACACTATGAATGAAATTTAAACGAGTAAAAACAAAACCCAAAGCTGGGGATGTAGTTTGGTTGGTAGTGTTTGGCATGCAGAGCCTGGCTTTGATCCCAGCTCTAGTGTGGTGGCTCAGACCTGTAACCCCACCGCTAGGAGGCAGGGTGGGGGTGGGGCAGAAAGATCAAAGGCTCCAGGTCATCCCACCTGTGCTATGATGAGACCTTGTTCAAAGCAAAACAAAACCCCAACTCAAGCCCAGACTATATTCACAGCTCTCCATCAGAACCTGCTCCGGGTCCCTCTGCCTGGAGTCTGGACCCCTGCACTTTCCCTTCCCATTTCCCAGGAGACCTTAGGGACCTGGTACCACGGGTGCCTGCTCTGTGTGTGGGGGTGAGGAAGAGTCCCACTCCATCACCTCTGTGACACCCAGATGACAACCCCTTGGGCCATTCATCTGCATGTCAGTGGTGCCTCTTATTCTGTGTCTCTGCCTTTAATTAATAATTAGATAAAAGTCCTTGCTGGACCTAGTCAGGGTGGTGTGGCAGGGTTGCTGGACCGGGCTGCTATTGGAGTGGGTGGGCCAGGTGGGTGATGTTCCTCACTTCTGATACCAGATCCTTAGCTGACAGGTAGATCTGGGGGGGGGGGAGGTGGTAGTCCAGGCTGACACCCTACTGACTCTGGAGACACTAAACCCACCTCGACCAGGCACACTCAGCGTGTGAGAACAGAGGCCTTGGGCTGGAGCCCTGTACAAATTACGCACCAGGTTACAGCCCCAGAGAAAGCCCATCAAGGGCTCTTCTGAGGAGATACAATATTCCCGGAGGACTGGGTAGCAGCCAATGGGGTCTAGGGAGCAGGTGAGCTCCCCAAGTGGTCCTAAGGCGTTGAGGAAGGTCAAGGTTCCCTGCCTGACCTGCCTGATTCGTGGGTAGTGATGGCTTGGGCCTCTCTCCCCAGAGCTGGCCATGGCCAGATCATAGTGGGCCACTCCGGTTCTGACAGTGTCCACTACTCCTGTTGCCACAAGGAATGGGGATGGCCGGGGTCCTTAGTGACCCAGAGGCCAGGCTAGGTTACCTCCTCCTGGAAGCCTCTTCTCCCAGCTGCTGGACAGAGGTGAGAATGCTGGGAAGGGGCGCAGAAGCTGCAGATGAAAATGAAAATCTATTTGGATCTGACTTGAATTATTAAGAGGTTCAAGAATATCTTAGCTCTAAAGAGCTGTGGTCTGCTGAGATGGACATCACCACGGCCCTATTTTTAAGGTTCTGTGGGAAGAAGCCGAGACGCCACAGTACTTAGGGCCCCCTGACCTCAAGCACTGGTGTCTGGCCACCCCACCCCAGACTGGTCCACAGTCCATGCTCCACCTACCCTACTCCTTCAGTTTTCACCCCCCTGGCCCTTGCACCCTACTCCCCCAGTCCCCTGTAGCAGCTCAGTCTGGCAAACTCTGGGCTGGAGAGGGGGTTGGAGAACCCCACACCATTGTCACTGATGTGCAGGGCATCACAGCACTGGCCCATACACCAAGCATACAGTGGCCCTGCACTACCCCCAAGCCTGGCTGCTACCCAGTGCACTGAACTCCAGCATCTTCGCGGCACATCCCAAACCTCAATCCTGTCTCAGGCCCTGATAATGACACAGTGTCCTGAGCCCTATACTTTTGCTCCATGGTAGAGCTGCACCACTCCTAGCAGCATCTGGAAGGGCCATGCTAGTGGTTTGGGGACAGGCAGGAAAGGCTGTGATGCAGAGGTGGTGGCAGCTTCCTTTCAATTTTGGGACACATGCGGGTCCTCGGCAGGGAACTACTGAATCATTCTAGGAGGCCACCAAAGAACCATCCCATGCTGGCTGTGGCTGACCAAGACAACAGAGGTTGTCAAAGGCAGGACTCAAAGTGGGTCTGTTTCTAGTGATCTCAGGGTATAAAAAGAAAACAGCAATGAAGCAGATTCGAGACTAATTCCTTGTTACACACGTTCCCATCGCTAAAATCCAGAAGAACTTGAAACTCAACTACAAATAGCTCAATTACACATACACACCTACACAGCAACAGACTAAGGATGTGAACAGACATTTATCCCAAGATACACATGCAGCCAGAAAGTGGACAAAAGGTGCTGAAGTCATTCATCACTAGGAGAAGGCAAGTAAATTCCCATGAGGTCTCTTCCAATTCCCTGGGTGGCCAGAGTCCAAAGACACACAGTAACAAGTGCCTGAAGGTGCGGGGCTATGCCCTTTGCCCCTGGGGGTGGTGGGTTTCTTAAAAAGTGAAGCACAAGGCCACCACAGGACCCGGCACTGTACCTCCTAGGCATGTACCCACAAGAATGGAAACAGTCACAAAGGAGCTCAGCATCTAGTGTCCCTGGGACAGGCACAAGGAAAGCATCTGGGAGTTGAGGACGAGACAAACTGAATGCACAACCCCACGGAATAGTGCACAATCACAAGGAGGAGTGAACTGGGACACGTGGTACCCCACAAAGGAGCCTGGAAACAGGCAGACCCATATACACCAAGTGGGATGGCTGGGCTGGCAGATTCTCGTGGGGAAGGGTGAGGACTGGAGGTCCCTTATAACAATGAAAATGCTTTGGGGCAAACGAGGTAATAGCTGCACGAGACAATGAATCCTTTTTGTTGGCCTGTGTTGTCAGGCTGGTGGTCCTCCAGTCTCAAGTTCCCCAGTGGCTGGGCACACACAGACCACTACGCATACCCGGACTGAATATTCCAGAAGTCAGCTAGCTGTATTTAATGACTGAGCCAAAAAGATCTTCTCCCAGAACAAAGCACACCAAAGTTACCTACAAGCCGCCTTCAGGCTCCGCCCTGCACCTCACTGTGTGTTTGCACTGGCGGCCTGGAGAGCCACCCTCCCCGGAAAAATGACTACCGTGACCGTGGTGTCAGTGTGCTGGGCAGGTGTTGTGTGACTTCTGTGTGTCCCTGGGAAGGTCTCCTGTTGGAGTGGAACAGATGAGACAGAGGGGTGGCCAGGCTGGGTTCACAGCCACATTCTCGTGGCTCACAGGAGTGGGAAGAACTGCCTGCTCAAGTGAGGTGTGGACTGGGGACTCTGCAAAGTTGTTTTTCTCGTTATCTGTAAGGCTGGCCTTAAGGACTGATGGCCTCGGCCTCTGGAGCCGACTTCTCTAAGCTAACAGCTTTTCCTCACCCAAGGATACTGTGTGCTGGACCCTATGTGAAGCCCTCACCCACCCGTCCTGTGGCACCTTCCAGCTGCATGGGAGGCTGGCCAGGCCTTATTCCCCACTTGACAGCTAATCTTCATGAGGATTCTGGCCATTACAGTTTAACTCCAATCTTTTGTTTCCAACTCCCCCTGCTGCCCCCGCCCCAAAAAAATCCCCTCCACAACTCTGTCTTGACAAGGTTTGAGGAGGGAGAAATCTGGAAGAAGTTAGGAAGACAGATGGTGGGGCCAGCTGCAGGCTCTCCAGCTCTTGGCTTCCACAGGAATGCCAGGGAACGAGTGTATGTCCATGCGTGTATGTGTGCATGCACGTGTGCGTACAGTGTTTGTGACTGATGGGGAGGGCCAGTGGGGGCTGCACCTCTTGGAAACCTGCCAGTCTGGGGCACTCTGTTAGATCCAAGCCTGGGACTCTGACTCAGCAGTAGGTAGAGTGAGGCCACAGCTGGGGGGGGGGATTCCCTGGTCAAGCACACACTTCCCTTCCCACAGGCCCCCTAAAGAAGGTGGGGGATGTGGGCACCATAGGGATTACCTTCCTGCTCAGACACCATGGGTATCCCTGGTGCTCTTTCATCAGGTGTGTGGTGGGGAGGCTGCCTCTCTCTGCCACACACCTAATTTACTGGGAACTTACTGGGTGAACAGACCACGTGTATCTTCCTTAATGTCCCAAACCAAAATCCCAGGGAGTGATCCATCAAAGATCCCCATCAAAGACTGCAGCAGCCCTACACACATGGGATCTTGACAGTCACTACTACCTGGCTTAGGAGGGAGACTCAGTGACCCAGCTGAATCTAAATGGGACTGGCTGTGGCAGGAAAGCTCGCCCTGCTGTCCTTCCTCCACCACTGGCCTCAGTCCATCCTGACACCCCACGGGTGTAGGATTTGGCAGCTAGTCTAGCACATCACCCATCACCTCTCCTCCAGGAAGTCTGGGGATTAGGGTGCAGGCAGAAGACATGTTACAGGTATGTTACCTCTGTGTTCCACCTCAGCTGCCACTCTAGTGAACCTGGAGTGTATGTGTATGTACGTGTGTGTGTGTGTGTGTGTGTGTGTGTGAGAGAGAGAGAGAGAGAGAGAGAGAGAGAGAGAGAGAGAGAGAGAGAACAGGGTGCTGGAGTTGAGCTTCTGGTGAGCCTCCTCTGAGGCCTGCCGCAGCCACCACTCCAGGCCCACCCAGGGAAGACTCCACCGGCCTAGAACAGACCTGCTTTCTTGGTGGGATGAGATTTTGACGCTCCCTCTGGTGAGAGGGTGGCAGGAAGAGGAGTGAGGAGCTGAGCCTGGGGCTTTCTCACCATGGGCCTCAACCGGCTTCCCATCTGGCACCCTCTGTGGAGCTGACTCCCCAACACCCACTCTTGAGCCTGCTCCAGGCTTGAGGCTTTCCCACTGCAGGTCCCTCAAGCTCAGCATCAGGCTTAAGGACAGGCAACTTGGGGGTTGCGGTCTGGTTATGCGTACTGAAGGACAGTCTGTGGCCAGGATGGTGATGGAAGTCAGAGCCAAGTCAGAATCAGGTCTGTATGCCAGGGGGACGGTCAGAGTTGCAGGTGTTGGCACAGGATGACAATCTCAGGGCCTCTGGGTACCTGGAGCTCCTGTGTACTCTGTGTGTGTTTCCTGGTCTGAAATGTTGTCCTGTTGGAGCATGGTGACCACACTGACCAGCCAGGGATGGAGGCGGCTGGACAGCCATGGGCCCAACGTAGACTGTGCCTGCTGCGTCCTTCTGGGGATTCGGTTGCTGTTGCCTCTGGCAGGGGGGCCTGGTGCTCAACCTGTGGCTGTGGGTGAGGTTTCCACAGCTCCTAGAGATCATCTTCTCAGGGTGGCGACTGTAACCAGGCTGGAAGAGGCCAGAGGTCTGAGTCTTCATGACGTCCAGTTCCCTCTGACTGCTGAGCTTTCGGCTGCTCCTGGAAGCCTGGCTGGGGATCTTTTGGGTCCGTGCTGGGGCCTCTATCAGAGTCCTTGGGGGGCCTGCCTTGATCAGCAGGTGATCCTGGGCTACCTTTGGGGCATGCCTTTGGCCTCTGCTCCTTCTGGCTCCTGGTAATGACACCAAGAAACAGGTAACATAAAAAGCCAGGCGTGTCAGAAGTTCCCTTGCTGAAGGGCAGACAGTCGTTAGTTGGACAGGTCCACTCTGCCCTCAGGCTGGCCGAGCTCAACTGTGAAGCCGGGAGTTGGCCCAGCTGCCCATTCCCTCAGTTCTCAAAGAGCTTCATGGGCTCAGGAACAGTCACCAGCTACAGGGGAATGAGCACGAGGGGGCATCCTCAACTACTCATGCACCACTCAAGACGGGGCCGCTGCCACCTGGGACTGAGGAGCACCAGAGTCAGGGACCAAAACTGAAGCTGCCAGATGCACCATGCTCTGTGGCTGATGCCCTGTGCCTCAGCTTCCTAACCCATGAAATGGGACCACAGTGCCTGTTTCTTGACAAGGCTTCCCTGAGGTCTGCTCTAGTAATAGCAGTTTGTGTAAAGAATTCATGACAGCCCTAAGTCCACAGCTGAGACTGCCGGCTAAAACAGTCTCACTGTCTCAAAACTTGAAGGACAAGAGCTTCCGCGAGGGGGAGACAGCCATGTGAGGGAATGTTGTAAAGAGATGTGTCTGACGCTAGGGACCATATCCTTTCTGAGGAGACCTGGCCTGCACCCCTGGACAGATGAAGTGGACCAGAAGAGGCTAGGCAGCTGTACCGAATGGTTCATGTCAACTTGACAGCCTCGACTGAGAAAATGCTGCCTTAAGATCTGGCTGTGGAACATTTTCTTAATTAGTGATTGATGGGAGAGGACCCAGCCCATTGTGGCTGGTGGTCCTGGGTTCTGTAAGAAAGCAGGCTGAGTAAGCCATGATGAGCAAGCCAGTGAGCAGCTCCTCTCCAGCTGAAGCAGTTTCTCCCCTGCTGTGACTTCCTCCAACCATGAACAGTGACAGGGAAGTGTAAGCCAAATAAACCTTCTCCTCCCAACTTGCTTTTGGCGTGGTGTTTCTTCACAGCAGCAGAAACCCTAACTAGGACAGCAGCCGTGTTTGGAGGTGGGCCTTGAGCCAGCTGAGCCACATGAGTGGGGTTTCTTGAGGGTTCCCACTAGGTTTGAGGTCTATTTTCCTTCAAGGGACCTCTTCCTATGTCCCCTGCCAGTACTAGTCTCATACTGCTGCCCTGAGCTACAAGCAGCATCAAGGACAAGTGGGGCTCACACAGGACCACTGCGGACATCCTTCCCACACTTACCTCTCCTGCCTTTGTGCAGGAGACCCAGGGTGTCCTAGAGTCCTTCGGATGTACTCTCGGGAGCGGATGTCAGCCTGGAAGACACACAGAGCTGTGGCCAGGCCCTGGGCACATCTCCCCATCCCCAACTGCTGGGAGCAATTCATGCCCTTCCAGAGGCAGTGCATACAGGCCCGTCATGTCCTGTGGGGACATCAGCCCCACCAGTGTGCAGCTGACAGAAATGCTGAGATCCTCGGGGCTGAGGGTCCTGGCTCCTCCCAGCATCAGCTGACTGGCTGGTGAGCCCTGGGTCCAGAGCCTCTAAACTCTGCTAAACCCTCTTCTCTGACTCACAGTCCAGGTGTCTGTCTTCTCTGTCTGTCCTTCTGATGGGTGTCAGCTGTGACACCTGCCCATCTACAGATCATCTGACAAGTTACCATAATAAAAAAGGACTGTGGGCCACAGGTATGGGTATATAGTGGAACTCAGGCTGAATACACAACCCGTCCCTGTCACCTGTAAGGGTCTGGCCTCAGGAAGTCCCTGATCTCAGCTCAGATGGGTTTAGCTTAGCTTTGGGACTACATGACCCACAGATAGCAACAGCTAATCCTGAAGACAGCGCCTCTTCAGCTAAGGGAAGTAGGCCGTGGGCGGTGGGACATCCTGATGGCACAGGATGGACCAGAGTTACAGTGGAACTCTGGGAAACAAGGAATGCAGCAGAGCCTGAAACTAACAGCCTTACTGGGTGGCAGCAGAGTCTGGGTATGGACTAGAGCAGAGGGAAGGCAGGCCCCAGAGACTAGCACTGAACCTTTCTTGGAGAACTTTGGGGAGGTGAAATTGTAGGAAGGAGAACCCTGCTGAGAGGCCAGTGGAAAGAAGAGAAGCCAAGATCCACAGTCAGTCCTGCTGGGCTTATTCCCTTCCCCCCACCAGTTTGGGCCCCCAGGGTAGGCAGCCATGTGTTTGCTCTGTGTGCACCCAGGGTTGGGCAGGCTCCTGTGCTAGGCATGCTCTGGTTTCCAGTATTCAAGGAGCGTTGCAGGAGGCTCGCCCCTTACCTGCTAGGGCAGAAACCACTGTAACTCGAGGAAAAGCATGGTCAAAACCTGAGGCCGGCAAAGCAGGTCTGGGACTGCATAACACAGGGCTGTGTGTCCTAAGGGAGGGTCAGTGGCTTTCTCTCTTTAGACCACAGAGATGGAAGGGGAAAGGCTTCCTGGGACTAGGGTCAGGACTCACAGGTTTGAGAGACCATTGCACCTGTAACCAAAGTAACACCCTAGATGAGGGAGGGCTGAGGTGAGCTAGGCTGAAAAGGGTCTTCCCTGGGGAATGCCAACAGCTCACTCTTTCTCAGAGGCCACCTATCCTGCCTTTCCAGGAGCAGGGTTCAGCACCACAGGAGACATAGCCTGCTGCTGCCACCTAGAGGCAATCCTATGCACCTGTAGCTCGGCTGCTCTCCCTCAGGACAGAGTACAGTCTGCAGCCTGGACCTCACAGCCTCCTGAGGGTGCGGAGCTGTGGCCTGAAAAACTGTCTTATAGCTGATGGAGACAGTAGCTTCTTGGAGTCCCTTGTTGGTAAGGCTTCCTGCCTCCTGACTCTGGCTGAGTTGCTTGAACATCAAATTCCTCCCGACCCGGGGCTTTTGCTAGTGTCTTTCCAGAGCCCAGACTGTCCTACTCTAAAAAGTGGTTTTTCCAGCCAGGTGGTGATGGCACACACTTTTAATCCAAGCACTTGGGAGGCAGGGGCAGGCAGATTTCTGTGAGTTCAAGGCCAGCCTGATCTACAGAGATAGTTTCAGGACAGCCAAAACTACACAGAGAAATCCTGTCTCGAAAAACTCCAAAAAAGAAAAGGGTGGAGCTTTTCCTGGGTCCTCAACTACAGGCCACTGTTGGACAGGCACTGGTACGCGATGGGTGACACAGACGGTGACCTGCATGATGCTCTCCTGCAGCCTGAAATGACTGGCTATCAGAGTGCTGAGCCTCTGGGGCCCCGACAGCAACATGGGTGATGGGTACCTGGCAGAGCCATGCCCTGGGGTCCATCCTAATTGGTGTTCTTGTCACCAGCACAAGCCTCTTCAATGCAGCTATAGAAGGACGCTGTGAGAGCCTCTGGCTAAGGGGCTGCTCCCCACTGGTCCTGCCTGAGATGTGCTAGCTTTGGAAAGAGAAGCTGCTCTGTTTGCACTACTGTGCCAGGTGTAGGAGGCTCAGCAAGGCAGAAGCAGGCACAGTGGCAAGAATTCCCAAGGGAAACAACGTCTGCCCTACACTCTTGCCTTCAGTGTCCAGTTAGCTCCACTAGGCTCTACCTAGGGGCTTAGGGACCTGTCCTCAGATCCCTGCAGAGACCCACCCCAGGTCCTCAGATCCCTGCAGAGACCCACCCCAGGTGAGACTGGGTGGCAGTGTCAATCCCCCACTCCCGTCCCCATACCTGGCGTATGGGCTCTGGGATCCGGAACCTACAGCAGCAGTGGGTCAGACGCACAGCGACCTCCAGGCTTATTCTGTGGCCCACAGAGACATAGAGGGGCTTGGTGCTGTGGTCATGGCTCTTCAGGGCCTGTGGGTGGGAAGAGGTCAAGCATGGCTGGGGCTCATTCCTGTGGAGCAGGACCAGTCTTAGGGGGGAGGTTCTGAGTATGTCCTGGGTGGCAGGAAAGAGCTCACAGGGGGGCAGGCATCTCCAGGTGGCACGCGGGGTGAGTGTAGCCGGAGGAGGACATGACACAGTGTACCCTGGTTGGTGGTAGGACATGTAGAGGACAGGGTTCGGCCTGCACAAATACATGTGTGCAGGAGCTGCCTTGTGGCTAGTGGACACCGAGTCTGGACAGGGCACAGCCTTTGGGCCACTCACCATTCCCAGGACAGTCCCAGAGTTGCCCATCAGAGGAAATGTGTCTCCCCCAGCCTGAAGGAGTACAATCTGGGAAATGGAGAGAATATTATAAAAATATCCCTTTAAAAGGGTGAATAACAGGCTTGCTAGTGCACACCTTTAATCTCTGCACTAAACAGGCAGAGAAACAGATCTCTGTGAGTTCAAGACCAAACTCAGCTACATATTGAGACCCTGTCTCAAAAACAAACAGCCAAGTGGTAGTTGCACACACTTTTAATACTGGCACTCAGAGTTTAGGAAGGCAGAGGCAGGTGGATCTCTGTGAGTTTGAGGCCAGCCCGGTCCACAAAGCAAGTTCCAGTACAGTCAAGGCTACACAGAGAAACCCTGTCTGGAAAAACCCAAACCAAACAAATCCCAAACAAAAGTGCAGGTAGGTTCGAGTATGTCGTCCTCAGGAACATCGTTTTCCTCCTCTGAGAAGGAGACTCCTTTGGCCTGGAGCTCACCAAGGAACCTCCTTTCTCTGCCTCTCTGGAGCTGGGATAACAAGCAGGGGCCACAAGCTCAGCACTTTTCATGTGGCTAATGAGAATCAATCTCAAGTGTCTGTGTTTAAGACAAGCACTTCACTGTCTGAGCCATCCCCTCAACCTCCATCCCTTCTGAAATGACTGAGGGCAAGTGTCATTCTTTAGAAGGTTACATTTAGAATTCTATATATGTGTGTGTCGGTGTGGGGTGTGTGTGTGCACGTGAGCACAGGTGCCCATAGAGGCCAGAGGCATCAGATTGCCTGGAGCTGGAATTACATGTGGTTGTCAGCTAAGCAACACAGGAACTGGGAACCCAACTTGGGGCCTCTGCAAGAGCAGTGCATTTTGTTTTGTCCCTTCTTGTTGTAGGAGGGCCTTCTGTATTTCTGCTGCTTTCATAATTGGTTAAATAAAGAGACTGTTTTGGCCCTTGATAGGACAGCAGTTTAGATAGGCGGAGTAGACAGAACAGAATGCTGGGAGAAAAAGCAGAGTCAGACAGATGCCATGGAGCCAGCCACCAGGTCAGACATGCTGAATCTTTCCCGGTAAGCCACCACCTCATGGTGCTACACAGATTATTAGAAATGGGTTAATCAAGATGTGAGAATTAGCCAATAAGAAGCTAGAGCTAATGGGCCAGGCAGTGTTTAAATGAATACAATTTGTGTGTTGTTATTTCGGGTGTAAAGCTAGCCGTGCGGGAGCGGGGCGGGACGAAAAGCACGCCTGCTCGCCTCATCACTACACTTTCTCTCTCTTAGATAGAGTTTCTCTGCGTATCTGGAACTCCCTGTAGACCAGGCTGGCCTCAAACTCACAGAGAGCTGCCTGCCTCTGTTTCCTGGGATTAAAAGATGGTGCCACAACCGCCCAGCCCAAGCAGTACATTATTTTTAACCACTGAGCCATCTCTCCAGCCCAGCAAACTCATTTAAAAATCTAAGCAGTGAGAAGAGGGCCTCACTTTGTCTAGGAGTAACAAGTTTACACCTCAGAGGCAGCATTGAGTATGTTGCCAACTGTGCTGAGGTCATGGCATGAGGTTCCATCTACCCTGGTAACTGGGGCTTAGAGAAGGGGTTGTGGTTTCCCAAGGCCCCCAAAAGGCAGGTGCCCCTGAGCACAGCAGTGCATGTCCAGGCTAAAGCTGCCATCTGCTGGGTGCTTCCCTCCAGCTAGGGATCTGGCACAAGCCAACTCAGCCCTTTCCCTTCCATCCAGTGATCAGGCTGCCACGAGTAGGACCTGGGCTTTCCCCACTGCACCAGCTCAGCTCTCGACAGGCTCCTGAGAGCTAGGAGAGATGCGGGTCTCAGCTCTTGTCACTTGCCCAGTGGGATAAACATTATGTCAATGGCTTCCTCTGGGTGAGGATGGCACACCTGCAATGCCAGTTCTGGGGGGAGGGGGATGGCGAAGTAGAGGCAGAGTAAGGGCCAGAGTCAGGCACCACAGCAGGCTGACTGTGAACACCATGGGAGGGAACAAGGTGGTGAGGATGAGATGGGAAACCCTGGAAATCCTGTCCCCAGGAACTGGAGCGCATGGCCCTGCCTGAATGCTGCAATGGCAGAGACAAGGAAGAGGGGGGCCAAACATGGTGGGAGGCGCCCAGCAAGCTTCAGAGGGCTGTGAGCCACTGCTAGATGAACTGCCCATAGGCAGATGGAAGGAAGTTCCCAGGGAAAGGGGGATCTTCTGGGCAAGAAAGCAGGGATGTGAGGACTGTGCTAGCAGGCCAGGTTAGAGCTGAGTACCCCCAGGAGGTGGCCAAGCCATGGGCACAATCCCCAGGGCTAACGGGCACACTGGCTGACTCCCAGGAGTCCAAGGCCCTCCTCACCTTCTCCTTGTGCACGGAATTGTTCTCTAGCCCGTCCACCTGCAGGAGCTTCTTTGCTACCCCAATGCAGGGCAGATCTGTAAGGACACCAAGGTGGCAGGCCACTCCAAAGCCTGCAAGGGACCAAGGGAGTGAGCTAGATGGTGGGGATGAGACAGGGAACCAACCAGAATCTCTCATCCATAGACAACAGACTCGTGAGTGGGAGCCAAGCTGACCGGACTATAAATGAGGCTCTGCTCTGATCACATGGGTGCTAAGGATGGGGTGGAGGAAAACTCCTTCCTCCACCAGGTAACTATGGCACATTCTCCTAACCCTTCACCCTCTTCCATCTGCTGCTCTTCTCAGGCCTCTGTGCCTGTCCCCTATGGTCTGGGTCCTGTCAGGTGGCCTGGACAGCAGTGACTGGGGACATACACCCCAAAAGGCTTAAGTGGCTGATCTGTGAGTCTACCACTAAATAAGGGACCTTTATTATACTCCATTCTGAGCTGGTGTGGGACTAGTTTATTGTAACCTATAACAGTTGTTTGGCCCAGAACTGGTGTCCAGATTAGCATGGATTTATCTTTTGGCTTGGGCCCATGGTTTCTAGCCACACCCCTATCATTCCTGCCGGCTAGGAAGGCAATCCCTTTCTCATGCCCCACTTGGGAGTGCTACTGTAACCTTCAGCCCACAGTGCCCTGGCAAGGACAGGGACAAAGCCTGACTGGCAGCTCAGGGCTGGTGTGGGAATAGAGCGATCCTGAGCTCAGTCCTGTGACTCTTTATGGTCACTAGGCCAACCTAGATGCGGTACTAGGGATGGACCAGTGTAGGGCACTGTGGAGGGAAGCAGGTGGGTGACAGCAGGGGCTCTCCTGGGGGAAACACCCTACTCTCCCACAGCACCCTCTCTGACCCTCCTTCAGGAGGATTACCTCGTTGGTGAAGTACCCCGTTTCCATCCACAAGAAGGACCTACAGAGTCACAGAGGAGTCAGTCAGCCGGGCTGTTGCCAGGGCAGCAAGAAGGGGAGATGACTACAGACAGCTCTCATTCCCTCCTTCTATGGGAGGCAGTGGCCTGAGGGGACCCCCTACCACCACCACCACCACCACCAAGCACAAGCCGAGGGGTTCTCCTGACCTTAGGAAGCACCTACCTGGGGCATGAAGTCTGGCTCCTTCTCCTGCAGCCACTGTACCAACTTCACCAGGAAGGGTACCTCTCGGAAGGCCAGGAAGCCTGACACATAGGGGGCCTTCAGGCGAACCATGCGGCTGTCCTCATACACCACCTGACAGCAAGGCCCATAGGTACAGGTTGGACATTGGTTGCAACCACCTGTTCCACTTCAACCCTCTGCCTCCTACCCATAGCTCCCATGTCAGCCTCACCTGTGACCAGGATGAGACCAGGTTTAAAAGTCGGGACCTGCAACTGGGTGGTGGGGAGTCAACTTAAATTTCATCTTCAGGTACTTGCTTGGGACCTGGCATGGATGAGGAACCCCTCATGACCTAGTGTACATGGGAATACCTATAGGCTATAGTATGTATGAGGAGCAACATCATCCCTGAGTCTCATCTGTTTCTGGAGCTTGGCTGAGGTGATGGCCAGCCTCAGGCCTACCTGCCCCTCATACTCCTGGCTCATTCCTTGTCAGCGTGAGCTGACCACCTGCATGGATGTTGGAGGCTCAGAGTAGAAGTCCCTGGGAGAGTAGGCTGTGGACCTGGGCAGTACTGTTCACCTCAGAAGAACCATGCGGAAAGGCCAGGCAAGTAGGACAGGAGCCTGTAGAGTCAAGGAAGCTGCAAAAACAGAGCCCCAGAGAGTGGGGGCTCAGGAAGACAAACAGGCTGAACCTGATACATGCTGTACGGCACTCAGGACAGTAGCTCCTGTGCATTCTATGAGGAAACGGAAGATCCCAGAGCGCTTTGTAAAGAGCAGCTCCCTTTCTTAGGTCTTCTCTAGCAAAAACACTGATTTCCAAACTAAAAGCCCCTATGGGCACCAAAAGGCAGCCGGCTAAAACCCAAGGGAGCACTACGGGGCTCAGGATAGGGCTCTGTACACAGCACAAGGTGACAAAACGCCTGACTGTGGGCCTCCATCAGACTCACTGGCCTGCCCTGGAGACCCACTCCTACTGTGTCCATGTTCTCCTTAACCCTCCCCAGCCCAGGCTCTTGATGAAAACTTCCACATCACAATTCCCATGGACCTTGAGGCTGGATCTGTATACCCAAGTGCACCTAGAGAACCGGCCACTGGGTGATGGGGCTTGAACTCCTAACATTTTTAACAATGGCTCCAAGTGGGGCATTCACTCAGACTCTGACTCGGCCAGCACAGAGGGAGACAAAATGCAGCCTGTAGATCCCAGTCCCAACCAACAGATACATCTGCAATACTCCTGCACCTAGGGCTCTGGAACCTGTAACACGCTCCTGCACCTAGGGCTCTGGGACCTGTAACACGCTCCAACACCTAGGGCTCTGGGACCTGTAACACGCTCCTGCACCTAGGGCTCTGGGACCTGTAACACGCTCCTGCACCTAGGGCTCTGGGACCTGTAACACGCTCCTGCACCTAGGGCTCTGGGACCTGTAACACGCTCCTGCACCTAAGGCTCTGGGACCTGTAACACGCTCCTGCACCTAGGGCTCTAGGACCTGTAACATGCTCCTGCACCTCGTGTGGGATTCCACTCTGTATGCTATGAATATGTTTTATTACTATTGATTATTAAAGAAGCTCTTTTGGCCAATGACTTGGTAGAATAAAGCCAGGCGGGAAATCCGAACAGAGATAGAGAGAAAGTAGGTGGAATGAGGGAGACATTATGTAGTTGCTGAAGGAGAAAGATGGATGCCAGGTACCAGTCAGAACCTTACCAGTAGGCCACACCCTCACGGTGATTCACAGATGAATAGAAATGGGTTAAGATATAAGAGTTAGCTAAAAATATGCATGAACTATTGGCTAAACAGTGTTGCAATTAATACTGTTTCTGTGTGGTTATTCGTATCCGGGCGCCTGGGAAACGAACGAGCAGTCTCCGCCTACATGCACCAAAGGCTCCGGAACCACCATGGAAGAGGGGGTAGGAAGACTGTAAGAGTCAGAGGAACAGGCATCTGCTGTGAGACTGTGTCTCCTAGAAATGCCAGAACCTGGAGTCCTAAATTCTCACCATCATGGCTGCCTAAGTGACCTGAACATGAACAACACCAACGGACATGCTAACTTGGATGGGGAAAGCTCAGGTGGCCTCAACCCTAGACAAAGAACTGCAGGCAACTGAGGAGCACTGAGAGCAGGAGAAAGTCTTCCCCAGGGAAGAGCACACCAGTGGGCTAAACAAACAGGCAAACCCTGAAGTCATACACATAGAAGTGACATTATACAGAGAGCAGAAAAGAGGGATGGAGGCCTGGAGGGAGGAAAAGGAAAGGGGAAAATTTGTGATTACAGTGTAATATCAAAAATTAATTAAGAGAAAATGCTAACAGAAAGAGCGAGAGAAAGAGAGAGAGAGAGGGTTTCTCTGTAGCTTTGGAGACCGTCCTGAAACTTGCTCTGTAGACCAGGCTGGCCTCAAACTCAGAGACCCACCTGTCTCTACTTCCTAAGTGCTGGGATTAAAGCTTTGTGCTACCACTGCCTGGCCGCTATCAGTGTCTTAAGCTGCACTTAGACAAATACGTGTTGATATGAGATGAATCCACAAGCCTAATTGCACTGGGGTGGACTCTAATTGCTGGACTGTGTTTAGCTCCGGGTTCGAGGTGCAGAAGATGGATCCTGCTCACAGCATCACTAGGGGCCACCAGCAAATGAGGCAGCATAAACTATTGTGGTCCTGAGAATACAGCAAACAGGAAGGAGACAAGAGTAGAAGGGCAGGGAAGGCACCTTCCTTCTATGTGTGCTGTGTGGATGATGAGTGAATATCAAAGAAATCTCTTTTCCTGTGGAAAAGGACACAGTGGCTACAGAAGACCAGCCGTGGGGGGGGGGGGGGCTGTCCCATAAGGCTGCCACCTGTCAAGAATGCTGAGTAAAGAATTCCTGACTGTAAAGGTGGACCGTTAATTCTCCAACCAAGCTTTGCTTATGGGAAAACGACTGTGGGAGACAGCTTTCCCCGGGAAATGGGCTGTGGCTCTGGAACTGTGTTTAGTGGCATTACTGTGATACACTTTACATTTTACAAAACTCATCGGTAAAGTGTGTGCGTCAGTGAGTTTTGACGCTTTTACTAACATTCTAATCTAATTTTAAATATATTTTTATTGTATGAGTGTTCTGTCTGCATGTCTGTAAACATATCATGTGTGTGGTGCCCATGAAGGCCAGAGAGGGCCATGGAATCCCCTAGAAATGGAGTTACAGACAGTTGTGAGATGCCATGTGGGTGCTGAGCACTGTGCCCAGGTCATCTGTAAAAGTAAGTGCTCTTAACTGCTGAGCAATCTCTCCAGCCCCATACTCTGAGTTTAGAACATTTCCTCCACCCTACACATCATCCTGGTCCTAGACAGCAGCTACACCCCATGCAAACCATGCTCAGCTTTAGTGTGATCAACTTTGGTTAGACTTAAAATTCCTTATGAGGGGCTGGAGAGATAGCTTAACGGCTCAGAGCACTGGGTGCTCTTCCAGAGGTCCTGGGTTCAACTCTCAGCACCCACACGGAGGCTCAAAACTGTCTTATAGAACAACCACAATGTTCTATAATATACTCCAGTTTCAGGAATCAAATACCCTCTTCTGGCTTCCATGGACGTCAGGCCTCCGTGAACATCAGGGGTGCACATAGTTCACAGACATACACATAGACAAAATACACATATAATAATAAAATATCATGCAGGAGACAACCTCTGGGTATATCTGTGAGAATGTTTTCGGTGAGGAGCAACTCACGAAGAATGACCCACCCTGAAAGTGGGCAGCACCATTCCACGGTCTGGGTCTGGAACTGAATAGAGAGCCAGCGCTAAGCAGCAATGTTACATTTTCTCTGCTTCTTTATTACTGTGAGCAAGCATCATGCGCCTGCCACAGGGGACTGAATCTCAAACCCTGAGCAAAATAAATCCATAAGTGGTTCTGTCATATCTAAGTAACTGATATGCTCAGGTAACCATGGATCTACATCCTTTAGGAGCGTGTCTATGCAATCAACAGCTCCACACACTTCCAGGTGAGTCATGGTCAAGCAACTGGGAACCACCAGGCCACACTCTTCCAATACCCTTCCCTGACTTAAGGCTACAAGAAGCAAATGCTAACTGGACGCCCAGACACAGGGGCTCTGCTCAGCGCTGGGTTACAACACATCTGTGGAATACCACTGCCCCAGAACCCTCAGAAGGGGCGCTGGAACCCTGCCTGGTGGGCTCCACACAGGAGGCAAACATGACAGCATGTGCCCTGAACAGGGCTTAGGGCTCGAGTCAGGGTGCTGAAGTCTGCAGGGGGAGAGTTGAAGATGGGGTTCTGTGCCAACTGCTTCCCACACAACTTATACACATTAAGGGTTGGCATTAGTACCATCGCCTTCTGTTGCTCTGATAAAATGCTCCGCTCGAAGCAACTTGGGGAGCAAAGGGCTGATTTCACCTTACACCTTCAAGTCACAGTCCACCACTGAGGGAAGTCAGAGTGGGAACTCAAGGTGAACTGAAGCAGAATCATGGAGGATGCTGCTTCCTTGCTCATTCAGCTCTTTCCAGTCTAGGCCCATCTGCCTAGGGACAGTGCTGCCCACAGTGGGCTGGTCCCTCACCTCAATAATCCGTCAAGGCAATCTCTTACAGACATGGCCATAGGTCAATCTGATTGAAGCAGTTCTACCAAAGCATCCTCTTCCAGGTGACAATAAAAACTAACCAGGACGATCCCTCTCACAAGGTCAGAGGGGAAGAAAAAGAGGCCCAAGGGGTAGAGTGGGGACAGCAGACCCAGAGTATCCACAGGAGCTGCCTAGTGCTGGTGTCTCTGTTCTTACCCTGCACTCTTAGAGAACAGTCAGGGACCCACAGGGACATGAGCCCCAGGTCCTCCTCACTACACACCCTACTTCAAGGGCAGTAGGCACTCTGCATTTGTGTTGAGATGGACTTAGAGGCCATCAGGGCTGAAGGCACAAAGCCAGAGTCAGGAAGTGTCTAGGGCTTCTGGAGGAGAGGTGATGGGATGGCTAAGGCTGGGGTGTAACCAAGGCTTCCTGAGATGCTGAGTGTGGATGAACCACAGGCTGACTGCTCATGTGTGCATACACATGATCTATGTAGACAGAATCTGATAAACCACAGGCTGACTGCTCATGTGTGTATAAACACATGATCTATGTAGAGAGGATCTGAGTGTCTTCTATATACCAGGGCAAGTCCTGGCATCAGAATTTACACTCTGGAGAGGGGAAAGGCTAAGTTCACTTCGGTATGTCGGAGCTGAGAGGGTCAGGGTTGCTATGGTTTTAAAATTTAACCTACAAGGTGACTGAATTAAGTGGGGAGCATTGGGAGGACACAGAATCCAGAAGTCTCATGAGACCTCAGTCTCACTTGATTCCCTGATCTAGAACTTACCGCCTTCACAACTCTGAGAAACACTCTTGTTTACACGCTACCCAGCCTGACGTGTTCTGGTCTATCAGGCAGAGACTGTCAAAGGACACAGAGACACAACTCTAGTGTTGTCGGATGAAGGCTAATAAAGTTCACATTTGCTAATGGGACGTCGAGGCCTGTTTTGCGCTGTTCCCTGCTTGATGTGACCCTGTTTGTGCACCTTCCACCACGGCTCTCAGTCACTCCTAAATGCTATTCCTCATAGCTTTAAGTCCCCCAGCAGGGTTCCGATGGCCTTTCATGCCTGCTCTCCTAGAGTGGTCCTCACCTGGCCGACTCCAACTTCCTGAAGAGCCCAGTTTAGACAGTACTTACTCTAACGAGCCTCCTTCATCATAGGAAGGCTGAGACTTCCTGCTTGGGCAACCTGTGGTGCGTGCTGTGGGCCACTGAGGTGAGCAACCCAGGACACCCAGACTTAGAATTGACTGTTGATCCTCAAGAAATGTTTTTATTTGTGTAGATATATGTGGGCCTGTGGGAGTTTGTATACACCACAAACATGCTGGAGCCCACAGGGGCCAGAAGTCAGTTCAGATCTTCTGGAGCTGAGTTAAGTGTAGTTGGGGGCAGCCCGATGTGGGAACTGGAAATGAACCTGGATCCTCTACTAGAACAGTGTTCCCTCTTAGCTGCTGACCATCCCACCAACCCTCTGTCCACTGATTCTTCAAAGTTACACTATTTCCTGAGGTTTTAGCCTTTTAAAAATACACTGCAACCTATACATTAAATTCTATAAATGAAAAGGCAGTGTATTGATCCCTTAGCATGTTCGAGGTCCTGCGTCGGCTTTAGCATCAAAAATTTAAAAAGATTCTAAAAAACTCACAGGGCGCGGGGGTGGAGAAGAAAACTTTTACAAAATTGCACCCAGGCTCTGATCGCTGTCTCGGGATCCAGTCCCCTTGGGCGCGCAGCCTACGAGTGCGGTTACCTTGAGCTCTGGGTAGCTC